GAGACGAGACCCCGATGATGATACATGATACATGATATATATATATATATATATATATATATGCCGTTATCGGTCGATAAATAAATGTGTATTTTATATAATACCGCGCGCGCCCGCGCGCCGTTATTATATGTATATACATATGTTATTTTTATCGATCGGTAACGGCTTTTTTTATCAAAAAATTTTCCATGTTGTACGTTTACACAATTCTCTATGGTAGCAGCACTCGTCCATTTTTTTTTTTTTTTAGAGGCTGGCTTCGACTACGTTCAATGACTCTCTTTTAAAACCTGCGCCTCTCGGTTATATGAAGCGCGGGTAAACGACGGGAGTAGATGTGCCTCTCTTAATAAAGGGCCGTAACGCGGTTGACAACGCCTCGGGCTGAGGCGCGGGTGCCGCATATCTGATTCTTTGATACGCCACGACTCGGTTCGCTGCACTGGGCGCGGGTAAACGACGGGAGTAGATGTGCCTCTCTTAATAAGGGCCGTAACGCGGTTGACAACGCCTCGCGCTCAGGCGCGGGTGCCGCATATCTGATTCTTTCATACGCCACGACTCGGTTCGCTGCACTGGGCGCGGGTAAACGACGGGAGTAGATGTGCCTCTCTTAATAAAGAGCCGTAACGCGGTTGACAACGCCTCGGGCTGAGGCGCGGGTGCCGCATATCTGATTCTTTCATACGCCACGACTCGGTTCGCTGCACTGGGCGCGGGTAAACGACGGGAGTAGATGTGCCTCTCTTAATAAAGGGCCGTAACGCGGTTGACAACGCCTCGGGCTGAGGCGCGGGTGCCGCATATCTGATTCTTTCATACGCCACGACTCGGTTCGCTGCACTGGGCGCGGGTAAACGACGGGAGTAGATGTGCCTCTCTTAATAAAGAGCCGTAACGCGGTTGACAACGCCTCGGGCTGAGGCGCGGGTGCCGCATATCTGATTCTTTCATACGCCACGACTCGGTTCGCTGCACTGGGCGCGGGTAAACGACGGGAGTAGATGTGCCTCTCTTAATAAGGGCCGTAACGCGGTTGACAACAACGCCTCGGGCTGAGGCGCGGGTGCCGCATATCTGATTCTTTCATACGCCACGACTCGGTTCGCTGCACTGGGCGCGGGTAAACGACGGGAGTAGATGTGCCTCTCTTAATAAAGAGCCGTAACGCGGTTGACAACGCCTCGGGCTGAGGCGCGGGTGCCGCATATCTGATTCTTTCATACGCCACGACTCGGTTCGCTGCACTGGGCGCGGGTAAACGACGGGAGTAGATGTGCCTCTCTTAATAAGGGCCGTAACGCGGTTGACAACAACGCCTCGGGCTGAGGCGCGGGTGCCGCATATCTGATTCTTTGATACGCCACGACTCGGTTCGCTGCACTGGGCGCGGGTAAACGACGGGAGTAGATGTGCCTCTCTTAATAACGGGTGTGACGCGATAGAGCGCGCCTCGGTGAGCGACGCGGATGCGGCATATACGGGATGTCCGCGAAGTTGGGGTTTTCCTTTTCAGAAACAACTACCCTTGAAATAACAAAGGTAATGTGTAGTGAAACGACAACGACCGAGTAAATAAAAAAATATTGGTGAAATTACTCTCTCTCCAGTTGACCAGAAGGGCTAAGTACGTCTCTGCCAGAAATCATACCGCTCCAACAGAAAATGAAATCAGCTGATGCGCTACCGAGCAGACGTAGGCTAACAAGGAAGGTAAAATGTTGCGTAAATAGTCTAGGTATTGCATCCCGTCCAATCGATTTGGGAGAATAAATTGTCCAATGAGCATACCGTTCACCATGCCAGCCCTATCATTCACCGAAAATGTTTGTTGAAAATGTGCCCGACGCGTGAACATAGATTCGTCTGTCACACGAATATGCACTTCAAAGAGTCCGGATTATTGTCATGTTGATGCAACAACTACTCACAAAACCGCACTCTTGCTGGAAAATCGTCAGGTTGAAGGGCTTGTACACGTTAGACGTGAAACGGATACAGCCCCTCTTCACGCAGCGCTTGCCACACTTTAGTTTTTGATACTTGCACTTCTCTAGCCACGTCTCTAGTGCTCGTTGTTTTTTATTGAAACGCAATCGATTATACCGGTTCGTTTACCTCTACGCGCGTGACCGTGACCGTCGGTTGCAGGTTGCATACCGACCTGACACACTGACCCCGACCACCCAGTTCTGTCGTCGGGTTGTTCTAGTACCAGTCGGGGATGTCGCGGCTACAGGACGGTTTTCAGATACTTTTGATGTTGCAGCAACCGCGGGTTCTCCTAGTCTCCTAGTCAAGGTTCCAACTAGCGGGTGCCAACTGGGACCTTGGTCTAGGGTACCTGGTTCTGCGGTTGCGATGCCTCTCGTCCGGATCGTAGTTCATGAGGAATCGTAGCTGCTCGTTAGGGTGGTCCTGAGCTTTCTGGAAGGTCTTCTCCGCTTTTTTCCTCATGTACTCGTGAATGGTGTCCCAATGCAGGTCTCTACGCAAGGTTGAGTTTCTTACGTAGGATGGATCGGTTGGTGGCGATCCGGAGTAGCTTCATCTCTAGAGCAGCGTACCCCCAGACCGCGGAGGCGTAAGCGAGCTGAGGTCTGGCGATGGCCTTGATCAGCCGTAGCTTGGTCGCTAGCGGCATCCGGCTGTGTCTACCCAGTATTGGGTAGAGTTGAGCCATGGCTGCTCTGGTCTTTGCGATGACAGCTTCTATGTGTGGTCTTTCCAGGTGAGGGACTTGTCAAATACGATCCCCAGATATTTGACCTTGTCGCTCCACTGGATATCTTCGTCGATGATGGATGCTTCGAGAGGGCTTGCAATCCTTCTTCGTTGGATGAAGATTGCCTGCGTCTTCTGGACGTTGATACGGATTTTCCATTTCACGCAACAGTCCAGTTCATCCTGTAGTCTGCTACGGATAATCTCGGGTCGTCGATGCTTAGCGGCGATAGCAATGTCATCTGCATATAGGGCCAGCATTGTGTGAGCTGTCTTCGGTACGTCATGAGTATAGATGTTGTAGAGCAGGGGGGACTGAGGCTGACTCCTGGAGCACGCCTGCTACCAGCTGTCGTCGTGTTGAATGGCATGTACCAATCCTCACCGCGAACCGTCTTTGTGTTAGATAGCTCTGGATCAGTTGGCACATGTTTGCATCGGCGGTCCTGGCTGCTCTAGGACTCGTTCTTGGTGGCGGCAGCTGGCATCTTTGGCTGCCTTGGCGTCTCGTCTTCGGAGGAGGAAATTCGCACCCGCTTTTTTTTTTCCGTCTGGTGGCGACACTGAAATCGGTGTCGTCGTTGCTTGCTGTCTCTGTCGTGGTCCTATCCTCTTCGGTCCGTTGGGTGTCCTCTTCTTGAGCGTCCATCTCGTCCGACGTAGCCTGGTGGTCCTCTGCCTCGCCTTCTTCGGTCTTCTTTGCGGCCTTCTTCGTGGCCCTGCGGAGCTTCCCGTTCAGGTCCTCGATCTCCTGTTGTGCTTGCAAGAAGGCTTCTTGCAGGTTTCGCATCTGCTCTGCCAGCATGGCGACAGCATCTTTCTTCTCTTTCAGCTGGTTAGCCAGCTTCTCAATTTTCGCCATCGTAAATGACAAACAACCAATCTATCGCAATAAGATTGCTCAATATGTCCGGGTGTGTCGCAGTCGTGCAAGTATACACTCGCAACGGCTGCTAGCTCGGAACTGATGTTGCGCGCACACACACCACACACCCTCCTACCCTGTGCGGTCCCTCCACCACCCCTGTTCCAGGCAACCTCATACCCTTGAGGAGTGGGGGAAGAGCAATGTGTGAGACAGAGAGAGAGGGGGGGGGGGGAGAGGGAGAGTTAACGTGATTGTCGTTATAGACACTAGCGGCATTGTATGTAAAATTGCGTTGGAATAAAGTTCTATCATTCCGACAGTACCTCTAGAAAGTAACTATCCCTCCAAGGTATCTCCATATAGTCGAGCTCCACAACCCATCGATGCTAGGTAAACATAAAATGTTACGGTAAGTAAGAATTGGTATTATTTGTTGCATTTTCCATGTCACGATCCGTATCGTAGAAACGTAACATCACACTGTATCATGCGGTTATTGGGCTGTTGTTACTTGAATCCCAAACAGCATGAAGGAATATCGGCAAAATATTACGTGATTTTTTTTTGTTTCCTGATCCGATGATCTCTATTTTTTCTTCAACAAACGAATTGTGTGGCCCTGAGAAGGGCCGATTTCTAGTTTTGACGTTATTTTCTTATTATTATTATTATTTAGGCTTTCTTCTCTGTCTTTTTCGGCAATAGGACAGCCTGAATATTCGGAAGAACTCCGCCTTGGGCGATAGTTACGCCGGAAAGTAACTTGTTTAATTCTTCATCATTCCTGATTGCTAACTGCAGATGACGTGGAATGATCCTGGTTTTTTATTGTCGCGAGCAGCGTTGCCGGCCAACTCTAACACTTCGGCTGCCAAGTACTCCATAACGGCGGCAAGGTACACAGGAGCTCCGGCACCGACGCGTTCGGCATAGTTTCCTTTACGCAATAATCTGTGTATACGACCTACAGGGAATTGCAAACCGGCCCTACTAGACCTGGATTTTGCCTTTCCTTTCACTTTTCCGCCTTTTCCTCGTCCGGACATGTTTATTTGTTTATTATTTTCTTTTTGACTTGCGAATCGACGACTACAATCTGCTGTCGTTGACCGAATTAATAGAATAGAATGGCAATGTCTTTAGGTACGAGTATATTTATATAACTACTCCGACCAATCACCGTTTTCGTTTGTCGGTCACCCGTAAGGGGCGGAGTCTATGTCGGTAACGTCGTGGCTGTTAAAGCTCGCCGTTTATCCGCACACCTTTCCATTATAGATCACGATATTGTGTCAGTAAAGATCGTACTTTTTGTGTAAATCGAAACGCGATGCCACCCAAAACTAGCGGTAAAGCAGCTAAAAAGGCCGGTAAGGCTCAAAAAAATATTTCCAAGTCTGATAAGAAAAAGAAACGCAGGAGGAAGGAAAGCTACGCAATTTACATCTACAAAGTGCTGAAGCAGGTACATCCAGATACCGGTATTTCCAGCAAAGCGATGAGCATCATGAACAGCTCGTCAACGATATTTTCGAACGTATCGCAGCGGAAGCATCCCGATTGGCACATTACAACAAACGTGCCACGATAACTAGCAGAGAAATTCAAACAGCCGTTCGACTATTGCTACCAGGAGAATTGGCCAAGCACGCCGTCAGCGAAGGTACCAAAGCCGTAACCAAGTACACCAGTTCGAAGTAATATGTAACTACGACGACAACAACAACATCAACAACAACTTACAACATAAAAACGGTTCTTTCAGAACCACTAAAGTTATCAAGTAAAGATAATGATATCACCGTACGCGCAACATATATATTATTGGTACTTGAATACCAGATGATTATTCGTGATATACATACACCACTAAAGCAATAACGTCTGATATAAGACCCGACCGGATTATTTAATGGTAAACGAAAGCGTAAAAAAAGGGGATATCCTTACGACGCAATCGACTGTTTAACGTTCATTCGTTTAATTAAACACAATACATACTTATTTATACCCTTAAAAGCAAATATCGATGGTGACGACGCCTAACATTACCACTTGCTTATAAATACCTAATCGTAAACGAATAATACTCGAATTTAATAAAAAAAAAAAAAAAAAAAACATCAACGCACGTACGAGCCGCAGTTGTACATGTATATTTCGATACAAAATTGCTAATTCGTAAATATTCTGTATCCTTTTTATAGTAATAGTGGTGGCCCTGAAAAGGGCCATTTTCAATCCGCGGGGACGTATAGCATCCTCTCGCATAAATATAACGTCTCGAACCGACGTAGCCGTAATCTACGACGTTGCAACACGTCTAAATTTTTTTTTTATTTCTTCTTTTTGGGTGAAGCGGCCTTCCTTTTTGGCGATGTTGCAGCCTTCGCCGTTTTCGGTTTTGGTGCTTTTGGCTTCTTGGTCGGAGCTCCCTTGCTGGATTTCTTCGCCTTCGAAGGAGATTTTTTTGCAGCCGCTGCAGAAGGTGCAGCAGAAGAAGCTTTAGCCGACGTCGCCGATTTCCCACTTTTCTTTGTCTTAGCTGGAGAAGCTTTCTTCTCGGCCGCACCACCGGCCACCGCCGGTTTCTTAGCCTTCGGAGATGCCTTCTTCGCAGATTTCGCACCGCTAGCTCTCTTAGCTACGGTTCCGCTCTTCTTTGAGCCGGTCGCGGATTTCTTCTTCTTTTCGCCAACCTTTGCGGCTGACGATGATGAAGTTTTCGACGCTCCGCCAGCCGATGACGAAGCTAGCTTGAACGATCCGGAAGCTCCTTTGCCTTTCGTCTGTACTAAAGCTCCAGACGCGACGGACGATTTTAAGTACCTCTTGATGAAAGGCGCAACTTTCTCAGCGTCTACTTTGTAATTAGCGGCTATGTATTTCTTGATAGCTTGCAGAGACGACCCGCCACGCTCTTTTAATCCTTTAATTGCGTGATGACCATTTCGCTAGTAGGAGGATGAGACGGCTTCGCCCTCGGATTCTTCGGTTTTTTCTCCTTTTCGCAGACGACTGCGACGTCGGCGACGCAGAATTCGCGGTAGCCGTAGCCGACGCGGCGTAATTCTGGTTTTCCGTATCTGCCATGTTTACGAGTCGTGAAGAGGAGACAGATTATTGTATACGCGCGATCTTTTGCAATCACTGATCGACGATCTCGCTAAGAGAACGAATGTCGAATGAATGTGAGAGGTAAATTCAGCGTCGTGACCCAAGTCATTTCGGTCGGACCGAACATTGAACGCTCCGACTTTGCAGCGAAACCGATTTCGACGGCTTCAATTCTGCCAAGCCTGCGGTCGTATCTGTTGGTTTTTTGAGTCGCTGAATATATTGCATACGAGCAACAGCTAAAACCTGACGAATATGAAATCTGCATAATTTGAAATACACATTTAACTTCGCGACTTGATCACGTACGCTACGTACACGATAAAATTATAAGGTGAAACGTGCAAGGTATCCGCTTTGGACCTAATCGTCCGGCTTTTTGATCTAATTTATATTATACGAATACGTTATATAATTAGATATTTCATGAAATTAACAATCTACGACTATTCGTAATACAATTATACTGTCGGTATACGGCTAATGGATAAGGTATTTTAGATAATCGCAATTATACGGAGGTATGTCTGGCGTACATCCGAACGTGCACAGTCGCGAAATATATCGCGATAATTTTAACATTACTCCTGTAATATGACAAAATAGATAATAATATGAGACATCAATCTATTATTCGTAATAAATAAGCCAGAGTAGAAAAATATTATTATAATATACGAGCGATCGAGTTATAAATTCATCTCTTACTACATATTAATTATTAGACGTACGCATTACTGACTTTTGATCTACGTGAAAGTACCTAATGTTACGTATTACACGCTAACAGCCTGCCTAAACGCCTAAGCAATATATACGGCAAAATATCTATATTATGTCGAATTATCTACATTATAATCACATGCTACTTATAAGTTATTTTACTTCCATACACATACATACAATTCGTACGTTATTAGAATAATATCAATGTAACGGTTTACTACAAAGCACCACAATCCTTCGATATAGGATAACGGGTAATAACTAGCGACTATCGTATAACCATTTAGCGCTATTTTGCATACACGATAATAGTGTCGAAATTGCACGCGTACAAACAACAATCTGATATACTTAACATAATACACGATCCCCTTTTTCTGAACATACTATATGATGGTTCTGAAAAGAACCGTTTTTTTTTTTATAACCTATTATCGCACGCCGTACTCTCTCTCTCTCTCTCTCTCTCTTTCCGGCAAATAGTAAATCCGTCAATTCCATTAGGCACGTTCGCCCCTAATACGTCTTGCCAGCTGTATATCTTTCGGCATGATCGTTACTCGCTTAGCGTGGATCGCGCACAAGTTCGTATCCTCGAATAGTCCGACCAGGTACGCTTCGCTAGCTTCTTGGAGTGCCATTACAGCAGAACTTTGGAATCGCAAATCGGTCTTGAAATCTTGCGCTATTTCACGGACCAGCCGTTGGAAAGGCAATTTTCTGATCAACAATTCGGTACTTTTCTGATAACGACGAATTTCTCTGAGAGCCACAGTTCCCGGACGATAACGGTGAGGTTTCTTAACTCCGCCAGTAGCAGGAGCACTTTTACGGGCAGCCTTCGTGGCTAATTGCTTCCTGGGAGCTTTACCTCCGGTGGATTTACGAGCCGTCTGCTTGGTACGCGCCATTACGTTAAATTTCAGATAACTGAATATAAATTATATATAGCAGCGACGTGAATATTGCAACGGACAATATTATAGTGAGCGGAGGTAAACACCGCGAACAGTTATATTTATATGGGCTCGAAATACGAAACAGTCTGATTGGCCAATTGATAGACCAATAGGAGGGACGACAACGCTAACAAAACCGGGCGTCACGAGAGACGTACCGTCAGTTGGCAACAGCCCGTTCGCTTTAACAGTTCGACGTGCGAGAGAATCTTGAAAAATGACTGGACGCGGTAAAGGTGGTAAAGGATTGGGAAAAGGAGGAGCGAAAAGGCATCGTAAAGTTTTGAGGGATAACATCCAGGGAATTACGAAACCGGCCATAAGAAGATTGGCGCGACGTGGAGGAGTAAAACGTATATCCGGATTGATTTACGAAGAAACTCGAGGAGTGCTCAAAGTCTTTTTAGAGAACGTAATCAGGGATGCAGTCACTTACACCGAGCACGCTAAAAGGAAGACAGTCACTGCAATGGACGTCGTATATGCATTAAAGAGACAAGGACGCACTTTGTACGGATTCGGTGGTTAAACACTCCGCAGCAATTACCACGGTACAGGTTGAACGAAAATACAATACAAAGAAAAAAAAAACGGTTCTTTTCAGAACCACCATATACTCTCGTGAGAAAGAATGGATCTGCCGATTGAACCGCCACATTAATTTTCTATTTTTTTTTATACAAAAAAAAAGAAACACTCACATAAATGAGTTTATCGGAATATGAGAAATTGATCGACTTATACGTTTTGGCTCTTTGTTACAATAATCGACGATTTCGGTCCCGATATGTCCCATTATCGAGATACCGGCGAATATTAGACGTGAATGCGACGATGAGATGCCTCGATTAAATAATTTAGTTATTGCCAACTTCTCGCGCCACAACCGATCCGATATCACCCTGAGAAAATTTTTCCATATACAAATGATAATCCCTTCATTTTCTTATTAAATTACTTGTTGGCCCTGAGAAGGGCCGATTGTATGTTCAGAAGATTTTTTTTTTTAGGCTTTCTTCTCCGTCTTTTTCGGCAAAAGAACAGCTTGGATATTAGGGAGAACTCCTCCTTGGGCAATTGTGACGCCTGAAAGCAATTTGTTCAATTCTTCGTCGTTTCTGATGGCCAATTGCAGATGACGTGGAATAATACGGGTCTTTTTATTGTCGCGAGCAGCGTTGCCTGCCAATTCCAAAACTTCAGCGGCCAAGTATTCCATAACGGCCGCTAGATATACGGGAGCTCCGGCACCGACGCGTTCAGCATAATTCCCTTTTCGCAATAACCTGTGGATACGACCGACGGGAAATTGTAGGCCGGCCCTGCTGGATCGGGACTTTGCCTTTCCCTTAACTTTACCGCCTTTTCCGCGTCCTGACATATTCAATTTGTTAATCTGCTAAACGAACGACGTCGACTATGAACTTGCAAATGCACAACATGATCTCCGCGAACGTTGTATTTATATGAACTAACCGACCAATCGACGCGAACGTTTGCCGGCAAACGCCTGGGGGCGGAGTCTACGGTCGTAACGTCACCTGTCTTAAATACGGCCAGAGAATTGCAGTCGTTCCGTTAGTCGAGCGTTGGTGTCGATTATACTCAGCATCATCTCACAATAAAATGCCACCCAAAACTAGCGGTAAGGCTGCCAAAAAAGCGGGCAAGGCGCAGAAGAATATCTCAAAATCTGACAAAAAAAGAAGCGCAGGAGGAAGGAAAGTTACGCAATTTACATCTACAAAGTACTGAAGCAGGTACATCCCGATACGGGTATATCCAGCAAAGCGATGAGCATCATGAACAGCTTCGTCAACGATATTTTCGAACGTATCGCTGCGGAAGCTTCCAGATTGGCACATTACAACAAACGTGCCACGATAACTAGCAGAGAAATTCAGACAGCCGTACGACTATTGCTACCGGGAGAATTGGCCAAGCACGCAGTCAGCGAAGGTACCAAAGCCGTCACCAAGTACACCAGTTCAAAATAATATAGACGTTGTATTCGCTTCGACGGTTATACGGTTCGAAAAATAAGAACAAAAAAAAAACGGTTCTTTTCAGAACCACTATGTTATGATAAAATGCAAAATGATAATTAGCTGTGGTCGTTATTTTCTTTTCATCATCTCTCTCTCTCTCTCTCCGCTCTCTCTCTCCTCTCTCTCTCTATATATATATATATATATATATATATATATATATATATATATATATATATATATATGTATAGAAGAAGTCCGTAATATCTGGAAGATGTCACCTGTATCACTGCACTGGGAAACAGTACCGTGATCGTAGGTGATCTAAACGCGAAGTCCACCATTTGGGGCTCAAGAAACAGAAACAGTCACGGCGCTGTTCTGGAAAGACTAATGGATGAACCTGGATATACCATGATAGGTCCGGACGAACCTACAATATACCCCAGCAACGGAGGTAGACCAGACGTCATAGATATGGCGATTCTGAAGGAAATCGACATGCGCACCACCATCGGCGCCATGCAAGAGGGAAGCTCAGACCACAACCCCATCTTTCTCTGTACGGGAGATGGGATAACACCTGTGGAACAAAGAACAGTGAAGAGAGTGAATTGGCAGCGGTTTAGAACCAGACTGCACTATTCACAAGGACCACTACTACAGATCGAAAGCCCCGAAAGCATAGAAGAAGCGGTCACGGACCTAGAAAGGAAGATTAAGGCTGCGTTAGAAGCCGCAACCACCGTGGAAGACATAACGCAACCAAACAGGTTCAGGGACCTACCTGACGAGGTAAATCGCAAGATCACCGAAAGAAACAGAGCCCGAAGAGTAGCCCAGGAGACCAGAAGCCCCACTGACATCATGGTGGCAAACAGACTTATGAGACAGGCACGAGACGCCTTGAAGCAGCACCATCAGAGCACCTGGGATAAGAAACTCGACGAACTATCTCCAGCTGACCCAGGAATGTGGAACTTGGCTAAAATCCTCAGAAATAGAAGACAGCCCATCCCCCCAATACACAGCGAACAGGGGATGGTGTACACAACCGAAGAGAAGGCGGAAGCTTTTGCTGACAACCTTCAGAGACAGTGTACTCTCAATACTCACCCCGATGAAGACGAAGACTTCATCGACGAGGTGATGAGAAGATCGAGGAGAGCTGTCAGAGGAGGAAGAGCCATCGAAGACATGCCCTCTCCAGGCGAGGTAAGGGAAATCATCGAAAGACTCAAGGTGAAGAAGGCACCGGGTGTAGACGATATTGGGAACAGAGTCCTGAAGAGACTCCCGAGGAAAGCGATAATGGCAATTACCAACATCGTCAACGCCATACTGAGACACCGGTACTTTCCAGATCACTGGAAAGTAGCCGAGGTGATCAACATTCCTAAACCTGGGAAAGACCCAAGGTTCCCCCAAAACTACAGACCCATAAGCCTGTTGACGGCACTGAGCAAGATTGCGGAAAGGGTAATCGAACGAAGACTGAAGAACGAAACCGAAGAACTCCGAGTAGTTCCAGACGAACAGTTCGGATTCCGATGCGGGCATTCAGCAGAGCACCAGGTCCTAAGGCTGGTCGAGATGGCAACGAAATCGTTCCAGACTCGGCGGGCCGTGGGAGCTGTGTTCATGGATGCCGCAAAGGCGTTCGACACTGTTTGGCATGACGGACTGATCTACAAGATGGTAGACCACGGATACTCAAAGGGGATGATCCAACTGGTGAAGTCCTACTTGAAGCACCGAAATTTCCGAATTAGGATCGGTAAAACAACCTCGACGACGAGGACTGTGGAGGCAGGAGTACCGCAGGGAGCGGTTCTACCACCCCTGCTGTATCCAATCTACAGCTCAGACATCCCGAAGACTCCTCAAACGCAACTGTATGTGTATGCGGACGATACAGCATATGCGGCAGAAAGTACGAGACCCCGCATGGTTACGGAATATCTGCAACGAGCGACCACCAACCTAGAGGAATGGTGCATCAAGTGGAAGATCCGCCTCAACCCCGAGAAGACCGAAGCGGTACTGTTCCGAAGAAATCGAAGATTACCTCAGACCAAAATAAAGATGACGACC